GGAGATGGAGAGGAGGGTCAGCGCAGCCAAGGAGAGCGGCACTCCCGACTTCGACCCCGAGGTACGTCCTTCCCAGGGGCAGGGGCTCGGGAACCACGCCAGGGCTGGCAACACATCAGGAGATTTGACTTTGAGTCCAGTTGTTAGGAAGAAATTCTGCTCATGAGGTGTTCTGAGCGGAGCAGGCGCCTGCTGAGAGCTGCTCGCTTTGCTGCTGCTCTTTGAAGCTCAGTTCTTCAATCAATACCCAGCAAGACAAGATTCCCTCTTAATTAAGGGAATGAATTAACGGAGATGTTTCCCCCGAGCACCGAGGCCGGAGCCAGCTCTGCACAGCTCTCATTTTTCAGGGTTTTTTGTGGAGATGTTGACTTTATTGTTGTCTGAAGGGTTTCTGCTCACAGTGCTCTTCTCTTTGTGCTTCTTGAACAGATGGTGGAGGTGGCCCAGAAGATGGGAGCTGCCCTGCAGGTCGGGGAGAGCCTGGTCTGGACTAAGCCTTCTAAAGAGTCCAAATCCAAGCAGAGAGCTGCTGTGTCAGGGAAATCCTCCAGCTCTCAGCAGCCTCTGGGCTCCAACCAGGCCCTGGGTCAGGCCATGTCCTCTGCTGCAGGGTATGGGAAAACCATGCAGCTTCCCTCAGGTGAGTCTCCTCTGCTTCTCCATCCAGCGGAGCTGTGGGAGTGCAGTTACAGCACGTGTGCAGGAAGGGACTGACTTGCCTACACAGCAGTAAGGTCGCTATTTGGTGATAACTTCCCCAGATTTCTGAGTTAAGGAAGATGCTCTCTGTGGTGCATTACACTCTCCTGCTTCTGCAGGGATGTGGGAAGCCAGCAAAATTTCCCTTCCTGTCTGAGCCACAAAGGGAAGACTCCATTAGCATGAGATTGAGATTTGCTCTGGAAAGGAGGTGGTTTGAGCAACCAGACCTCCTGCCTTCCTTTGGAAGAGCCCAGGAGCTGATGTGCACAGGCAGGCTGGCAGAGAGGAGGGAAAGGATGGACAATTTTCCAAAGCACTTGATCACTTCTTCTACAACAGTAACTGCAGCTGGATTGCTCCCAAGCTGCCCAGCCAGGCCCTGCCTTGCAGATGTTGCTGGGTTAAGTGTGGGCCACAGGACTGAGCGTTGCTCAGGAGGTGGTGTGAGCCTTATTCCAATGGCTGCACGTGCTGGGGCTGCGTAGGAGCATCTCCTGAGCCACCATTCCCCGCCTGACCTCTCAGCCCTCAGCTTCCCAGGAGGAATGTGCTAGAGATGCTGCTCAGCCTGGTGATTTTCTGTCACTCTTGGTCTCATTGCCTGGAGACTGAACCAGGAGAGAGGTTGTGTAATCCAGGACTCTTTCTTTGGCATCCCTAAGGACCTGTTCCATTTCTCACGCATGGATTTAACTTACCATGCAGGGAAGACTTAGCCAGAAAATCTGAAAAGTAAAACACTCCAGGAGTTTAAGGTTTACCTGAAGGACTTTATTGTCCTTATCAGAAAAGGGAGCTGGTTCATAATAGCAGTTGTCAGCCTAAATTTAAATGTAGAAACCACTTCTGTCCTGTTTTGATTTAATTCTGTATGTAGCTACTTTAACTGCCTGGAAGCTCTCCCCAAATTTGCAAAAGCTGTGAACTGAAGACAATACTTTGGTTTGAGCATAAACCAGCTTCAGTGGAACTGAAAGTGGCACTTCCTTGATGGTGGGGAGGCCCTGACACAGGTTGGCCAGAGAAGCTGTGGCTGCCCCATCCCTGGAGGTGTTGAAGGCCAGGATGGATGGGGCTTGGAGCAACCTGGGATAGTGGAAGGTGTCCCTGCCCATGGCAGGGGGGGAATGAGATGAGCTTTAAGGTCTCTCCAACCCAAACCAGTCTGGGATTCTGTGATTTTGAGAACTGTTTTCCCTTCCAAAGCATAAATTAATTCCTAAGTTTGTACTGACTTCTCACAGCTGAGTGAGATCCTATACCTGAGCTTCCTTTCAGCAGGACTTTGGGCTGTCAGATCTCTGGCTGGATAACTCCTTATCAATAACCTAATGCTGGGCAGAAGGAATCAGAGAGAAGTTAATAGCTGTGATTGTTCTGCATCTCTGTGCTGATGGGAAGGGCAAAAAGAACAGACACAACATGTGTAGCTGTAGAGTAACTCCAGCTGTGTCCTCTCCCCAGGTGCTGGAACAGCAGCTCTGCCAGCAAAGCCTCCCTCCCTGCCTCTGGAACCAGAACAGGACTCGGAAACGAGCCCCGAGGAGAGCTCGGCACCCACAGGGGACGCGGAGCAGGGGAAGGAGGAGCACAGGAGCCAGCAGGCAGTGGAGTAGGACGGGCTCTGGGCACCTCCAGAGCTGCCTGGGACTTGGGAGACGGACCTGCTCCTCCCTGCCCCGCTGGGCTTCACCCCCCTGTCAGTTAGTCTGGATGCAGCTGTTTTGTCAGTGATTTTTAGCACGTGGGCTCTGTCCCGAGTCGTTGCAGTGATCAGAAGAGGTTGATGTGTAGCTACTCTTCGTGTGGTCACTGCAAGAGGCTGCAGGATGGGGATCCAGCTCCCCACAGGTTGGGTGTGAGCCCTCTAGAAGGATCCCGAGGCATCCAGTATGTTTAGCAAAGCCAGCAGTAGTGACTTGGAATCAGTGGCTGAACTGGTGAGCAGCTGATTTTCCACAAAGAACCAGCAAACTGAACCTTCAGGGCTCTTTGTTTGCTGCTTGAGCTCCCCAGCTGTTTGAAAATGTATTTCCTGCTTTTAGTTCTGCTCTGTTGGATTGTATCCCTCCATAATGAACAGTCCAGGAGAGGAAGGTTAGGAATGGAAACTTCTCTGAGGCAACAGTGTAAAAGCAGCACCAGCAGGGCTCTGGGTCCATCCCCAGCCTTCAGCTGTGCTTTGTGTTTGCTGCTGTGACCCAGAATGACATTAATGCATCTTTAGGGCCCAGCCAGGAACTGAAATGCTCTCCTGCTCCCTGGAGAACACCAGAGTAAGAACCCTCACTTTCCCCTCTGTTTTGATGGCCCAAACTGCTGATCTTAAATGTGGCTGTTTCTCCCCCCAGCTGTTCTCTCTGCTGGGTTTTTCTGTCAGTACAGCTCCAGGGCAGCATTCCTGGAAGGATTCCCTCCTGTAAGGGTTCCATCCTGCCAGGAGTTGAAGAAAACAGGATTTTTTGTGGAGTGCTGGCAAATTGAAACAAACCAGACCGAGAGCAGGTAAATCAGGTACAGTGCAGACATTTTTATTCACATTAAACTTCTTACACTGGGAGTTCCTGCAGTGTAACAGAGTGCCTGGGAGGAAAAGGTCAGGATTGCAGAGCAGGGGTGGGCAGGGGCTGGGAATTCTTTATTTCAGCCCCAAAACTTGAGTTCAAGACAAATTTTTGTCCTAGGATGCTTTGATAGGGTAAATGTCACACAGGGAGCACATACAGCATTTGAAGGTATCTGTGAAGGGATTTATTTTAAATATGTATTTTGGTGAAGAGGTTACACAGATAATGAACCAATTCTCCTTCTGTGAAACAAAGCAGTAGCACCTTCCTACTTCCTGGGAAGCATTTTTAAATATGTAATTCCAGTTGGATAATAAACAGAACTGCAATTCCTCGTCCTGCCCCCTCTCCTCCCCTGGCTCTGGTGATGATGGCATTTGCACACATTAAATTCCTAGGATCTTTCTGGAGAGCTTTTTTGTGCTAATGATAATGAGGCTGGACTGTTCATTTGGCTGGAATGAAGCAAGGGACTCTTCAGCAGGACTGCATTGAGGCATTTAGGGATTTTGGAAATCACACCTTATGCTCCAAAACCTGTTTCTGGCATCAGCCATAATTCTAATCTTCTCTTTTCCCCCCATAATGGAAATTTTAAGATGGAAAACCAATAATGAGCTTAATTTCTAGGGAAGTAGAAACCATCTGCTTTAGGACTTTTCTTGCCCTTTTTAGGAAAACATCTTTGATGAGCCCGGGTAAATCACAGAGCTCACAGGGTTCTCTGCAGCTTGGCTTCTGCACAGAAAACAAACTAGAAGACACTCAAACATAAATGCCTGGGCAGCAAGACCTTGTTTCAGCCAAGAGTAATAATTTATTCATCCAGCAACGTATGTTCAACCCAAAAAATCTGGTTTTGAGGTCCCTGAGACAACTGGATGCTGATTTATGGCACAGGCAGGATTAGTGGATACCTGCCATGCTCCTGTACATGTTTGCTCAGTTGTGCCTGAGCCAGGTGGACACAGGGGTCTTTAAGATGTTAAAAATTTAGATTTCCCCGTTGGGAAGTGGGTTTCAGTTGGCAAAACCTCCTCTACAGAGACAGACAGGGAGCAGTGCTCAGTGAAGTAAACCTTGACTAAAATAATAAGCTCCACACATAAATGTGCTCGAAAGGAGCACATGTTGCAACAAGTACTTCATCTGCCAAGACTTTTCTATAAGATAAAGTCCAGTTCTGCTACAAGGAAAGCTTTACCACTCTCTCAAACCAAACTGCTCCAAAAAAAATCCATGTTTTTAATGGAAGATCCAGGTGAGCTCTGAACCCAGTTTTGCCCAGGCTGCAGTGAGGAGCAGCTTTCCTGAGAAATTCACGGGGGGAGGTTTTCTGGGTATTTTTTTTCATTGCCCCCACTTGCATTTCACAATTCCTGCCAGGATTTGTGTTCCTCAGCTGCCATGAGATCTGCTCAGCAGAGGCTGATCCCGGGCTCTTTGGGAACAGACGCCTTCCCGAGCTCCCGGCACAGACGGGAACGGCCACGTGTGCCATTCCAACCTGCACATTCCCTTTGCTGAGGGAACATCCTCCCACCAGTCTGGATCAGAAACTCCCTGAGAATTCAGCCTGGATCCACCTGAGAGATTACACAAGGAACTGCTCCATCTGTTATGGAGGAGAACTTCATCTGACGTCTCTGGGCAGACAGGACCAGCATTCCTGGCTCTGAGATCCAAGTTTCACTGCAGACTTTAATCAGACCCAGTATTTTTGTTTTCCCTCCTCTTTTCCCTAAAAGTTGGTGAGTTTCCTTAGCCCAGGAATAGCAAGGCAGCACATTGTGTGACAGGAGCTGCTCTGAACATATGACGCAGCACCCAAATATTAGCACAGAGACACTTTAGCTGGTCACTCACTCACAACCCTCAGCTTTCCTGAGCTTATCTCCCTAACTTACCTAAGCTGCAAGTGCCAAAAAGAGCCCAAAACAACTTTTAGGGTAACTGGAAATCGAGTTCTGTTGTACCACTCTCACAAAACTGTCCCACTACTCAACTCTTTTCTCAGGATGTGGCTGGAAAGGTCACCTGTGGCACATAATTCCTGATAACTCAGCATATCCTTACAGAATAAATAGTGAAAAAAAAAGCCAAGCACAAGTGCTGAGGGTTTTCCATGGGGTTTTGGAGTGGATCTAGTGCTCTGCTGCTGTCCAAGCTTTGGATTCCAGTGGCTGAGGAGTGGAGCTGAGCTCTAAGGCAACATCTAACACGGGTCAGAGCAGCTGCTGAGGTCTTTGCTAAAGGCTCAGGAAGAACTTTTCAGCACCAGTTCTGTAAAAAGGAATTTGGGAGGGAAGAGCAAACATAACTGGATCTCACATATCCCAACAGGAGATAACCAGGAAACACAGAAGTAAAAACAGAAAATCAAGTAATTCCTTAGCAACGCTGTGAAACTCTCCTGGAGAGGAGAAAAAAAACTGTAAAGAGCCTTTAAACTGGGAAGAGGCAGATTTGGGACTGGTTTTTCCATGGAGAGCACCAAGGGCACAGTGAAGGAACGTGTCCTTTGGGACTCTGCCAGCCTCCTGTGATTCACACCTCTCAAATAATCCACCACCTGACCTTCAGGAAGGGACAGGCACAGAAAAGATGGGAACAATGCTCATTCTGGATCCTGGATAAGACAAAACAACCCAAACCAAGGTGGCTGCAGCAGCTGCAGGGACACAGAGGGAAATACCCAAGTGCACAGGTTTTGTCATGGGGAGATGTCCCAATGCTGAGCTCAGCTGCTGCACCTCCAGCAAAATGTGTGTGAAAAAACATTTCCAGTGGAAACCCTTGTTCGGGAGTGTGAGGTTGGCAGAGGTTTGAGTCCTGCAGCACTGTGGATTTCCAGGTATAAGTAACACAGGAGAACAAACACAATTTGTAGAGACAGAGAGGATCAAGGGCAGAGTCACTTCAAGCCTGGGTTTGAAGCTTTGGTATTTTTGCAGCTTTTAGAGCAGCTTTTCTGTGCTGTCACTACTGAGGCTGTGCAGGAGTGTGAGACTGCACAGGCAGGGGAAGGATTTCAGGAGCTCTGCCACCCTGCCTGTCATTCCCTTGGGAAGGCACAGGGAAGTTAAGCACATCATGTTCACAGCATGTGAAACATGGAGTGAAGGCTGCTGGGCCCCTCCATCCAATTCACATTTATTATCATATAGATTGTTTCAGAACTGAGTCCTGGATCCCACCAGCACAGCTGCTTAAGGATTATCCTTGGGAAGTGCATTTGGTAGCAGGTGAGCTCTGTGTGCCTGATAAAGCACATCTGGATGGAGCAGCAGCCTGGCCATCAGGAGCTGCTGCATTTGAGATGTGACTCACAGTGCCAGGTATTGCCAGGGCACCCACGGGAGAAATGTAACCTGGTGAGAAAGAACAGGAACAGCAGGAAGGAGGAGTTAACAATAATTAGAGTTTAGCTTTAAGGCCCAGGTGATTTCTAAGCAATAAACTCCTTTTTTATAACTGTTTACACCAATTATTTATTCAAACTAGCTTAAAAAAAGAGATACTTTAGGCCTGTCACATTCCTGTTCAATACAAGCACAACTTTGCCCTTGGACAAGGTCTGTAAGTGCAGTCCCGTGGTTTTAAGTGGCCATAGGGAATGCCAGTCCAATCAGCCTCACATCCCTGGAAGTGTTTTTGGAAGAGAAAAGTGAAATACAGCAGCAGGGCCATTGCTGGTGACAGCTTGTGTGTGTTTAGTTTTGTTTCGTTTCCAACTTGAGAATCCACAGCTTGGCCCAGTGTCAGGAAAGTGGGACCCAGGAAGGCTCAGTTCTCCAGCTGGCAGATCCATGGCCTTTGGTGGCCCTGTGAGAGGCTGAAAAATGACCTTGCTAATGGCCTGGGACCTCTCAGACAGCTGAGAGGTTTTTTAATTAATTTTTAATTTAGGAAGACTAAACCAGAACTCAGAGTCCTGTGCTACAGTTTATCCATAATAATAATAAAAATAATAATCTGGATAGAAATACTTCCAGTCTTGAGAAGGTCCTGCACCAAGATAAAATGCTGAGAGTCAAGGGAAGCTCAGGATGGGATGAGCTGCAGGAAAACACAGCAGTGACTGTATTTCTGCTCTGTACAACACAGAAGACTTTGCTCAGAGGGAAAGCTGAACACACACTGACAGCCAGCATTGTGTGCTGAGTCAGTGCAAGTACAACAGCTGCCAATTTTTATCCTTGCAGAGCATTCAGGATGGATTTTCCAACAGGAGAACATCCCTGACAGCAGCATGACAGCGTTACTGAGACAGATCACTCCACCCTGAGTGACAGACTCTCCTCCCCTCCATGCAGACACAAAGACTGACCTTAAACAACCTCCTACAAACTCTGGTGAGGCACAGGCTTGCCCAGACATGCTGATGGCATTTAATCCAGGTCTGAAAAATGGCTGTGAGAGCTACACAGATACACCTGAAGTTCCTGAAGTGGCCAGAGACAAACCACGCTGGAAAGACACAAACCCCAGGCTGGTGCTCTGCAGTTCGTGGTGTGTGACTGTGAACAGGTAAAAAAACCAGAAGTATTTAACAAGGACACAGGGTTCTGCTTTTTTAATTTCAAAGGCCAGAGCAAAGAAACTATTGGTGACCTAGTCAAAAAACCTCCAACATCAAACCCTAAAAAGGCCTTCTCGCTTCAGTCTGACCTGGAAAATGCTGTTACAGCTTCTGAGCTTCCAGAGGGACCTTCCCTAATATATTAATCCTTCTGAATGGAGAGCAGGAAGACTGAAGAATTTGGCACAACCATTCTCAAACAACCAAAATTGAGTCTCCAGCACTCGAGAGCGTTTCTGTAACACAGCAGCTGTCAGCAGAGAAGGTATTTAGTGTACAGCAAACAAGGTAACGCTTTGAGGGCCACCTGGCAGGGAAGCAGAGCTGTCCCCCAAATAAAAACCCCGACTGTCTTCACTCCCACTTTCCCAAAAGCTAAGCACAGGCTGCTGGGGCTCAGCTGAACACTTTTAAGTCACAGACACCCAGCATCACCTGCACAGCCTGCAGCAGGTACAGTCTGCATCACATTTTGGGACCGTGGCTCCCTCTGGGGACACCAAGAGGTGATTTCACCAGGCAAAAATTCCATCATCACCCCAGGCAAGGGAAGGTTTGCAGTGTGCTGGGAGGAGATGAGCCACAAGCCTTTTATTTGGACTTTACCAGAGGCAAGGCAGGGCGGGCACTGCTGTGCTCTCCCTGGGATCCACAGGCAGGGAATTCTCCTGCTGCACTTCCCAGCATTACCAGACAAGATCCATTCTGAGCTACAAACAGCAAACCTACACCAGCCAGGGATTTTGGTCTTTGCCTCCCTCTCCCCCTGCTCAGGACAAAGCCAGTTTTCACATTAAATACTAAAACATCTGCACCCGCACGAGAAGGGTTCGAGTCACTGCCCAGTGACTGGAATGTGCCGACAGTTTATACCTGGAATTATTCTTTGGCTCTTTTTCAGTTACACCCGGAAAACACACCACACCCCGGTTCTGTTCCTATGCCACCACTGCCTCAAATCCCAATCCACGGGTCTCAGACACCGTGCAGCGCTGGAGAAGGAGAAGTTCCTGGTTTCCTACTGAGGATAGGCCTCGGAGTAGAGCAGTCCCTCGGCGGAGATGGCGTCCCCCAGCCCCACGGTCCGCACGGGGTCCTTGCACACCAGCACGGGGGTGAAGTGGAACGAGATGCCTTCCCTGTGCCAGTGCACCACGGGCTCGTCCGGGTTCAGGGAGATCTTGGCGGGAGCCTCCGTGTGGGAGGTGAGGAACTCGCGGGGGGCCTTGAGCAGGACCCTGCTGGTGTCGATGGTGTCGGTGGCGCAGGCCTGGGTGCCGGCGGCCCTGGCCCCGGCCGCCACCGCCGCCGCCTGGTTGCCCCAGTGCCCGTCCACGGTGGCCAGGATGTGGTAGGCCAGGGTGTGGAAGTGGATCCGCGTGAGGTCGGACGCCCGCTCCGCCGCCTTCCCGTGCTCCTTCAGGATCCAGAAGAGGATGTCGCTGACCACCCCCACGTCGGGAATCCCGCTCCAGGAGCCCAGGGAGGCGTGGGGGCCGGAGGCAGCCTGGGTGAGGAACAGCAGCTCCTGCTCGTTCAGCCCGATGGAGTTCACCAGGGGAAAGACCTGCTAACAGAAACACGGGAACCACGGGTTTGCCTTCACAGGGACAGCAGGATTTGGGATTCCTCCTTCAGCATGTGGGTTTTACAGTAACCTGGTGTGCTCAGCACCCAGTTTCCCAGAGGGATGCAGCCCAAAGTCACTGCACTTCTTCAAGTTGGCAAGAATTACTCAGCCAAGGAAACATTCCAATTGGTGCAATTAGTTTTCTAGAAGCACGCTTTGACAAGAGTAACAAAACATCAACTTCAGATGAAGCACTCATAACACTGAAATCAGATCTGTGTCAGGATAAAAAAGGAACCACCAGGATCTGCAGGAAAGAAATTCTGCAAAGAAATTGAGGGGGTTTTTAAATTTAAATTCAGCTTAGATTCAATCTTTGAACAGACAGTCCTAATCTTAAGTTTTCATTTCTATACTCATATACCAGTGTGTGCACTGTGATACTGAACCTGACAAAACCAGCATAGCCTTTCATTTTCCTTACCTGATGCATAATGTTGCTCATAAAATCCTGATCAGTCATACTGGCCAGCTCCAGGTGAATGGGAATGTCAGTAGGGATGTCGGAGATGGAGGCCACAGCCTACAGGAAAATAGAAAAAACAACACTAAAACATGTACTTATTAAGAAACAGAAGGAGGAAAAGGGTTTGGACTTGAAATACACATAATCTTCCTGTGCATGGATTTAAACACAATTCCAAATGAGATGTCTGACCAGTGGATGTACTGCTAAGGGAGGAAATAAAAACAACTGCTAGTTTTTGAGAATTCCAGAGCAGGAAAACTGTATCTAAGCCTACTCTGCACCCAGCTCAGCACCTTTCTAATGGACTAATTCCAAAACCTCATAAATCTGAAGGAACTGTAGAACAGCTGATCCTAGAACACAAAAAAAGGCCAGTGCCCTGCATCAGGATCAGAACTCAGCTATAAAACAGGTGATGTAAGATAGATGCTGCTTAAGGAATGCCAGTGTTGATTATAACCTGGATAATCTCGGTATCTGGGATAGAAAAGGTGTGATTTAGCCACTAGACAAGCCCAGCAACCAGGTCAGTGCTCTCCAGCCAGGCAACCAGCCCTTCTTCTTCCTTAGACAACCCACTCAATCTAAGAAAAGTCACTGTTACAGAACTAGACTTTTGCCATTCCTGCAGTTCCCAGTCTCCTTTCAGCAGGCAACACTGGGATTCGTGGGAGAGCTGAAGGCATAACCCACCAACACCTTCCAACCTGGGCAAACAAGGCCTTGCCTCGAAGCACTTGCTGGAGTGGAAAACTGGGAGACTCGGGTGTTCCAATATCTCACCTCCATCAGCCGTCTGTGTCGCGCCTCCTTGCTCTGCCCTTCCATCATGTGAAGTCCTGAAAGCACCACAAGGTCTGGCTGGAATTCATCCAAGCTGGACACAAACACTTCCAGCATGTTGAGGGCACCGTTGGACAGGTCATGGGAGAAGATGAAGCGGTTGGCAGTGGGTGCTCTCACTTGGCCCCACTCCTCACCTGGGGTGGAGCAAACAGAGGCAAGGAGGTGGAAACTGTTGTATTCCTGGGCGGGATCACAAGTTAGATGTGCTCCAGCAGCAGCAAGAAAACACATAGATTTGTTTCAGCACTACATGAGGGTTACTCTGGGTTTCACCTGCACATTAAATGGTCCCTTTGTGTTTTCAGGGACCATTTTAGTGTTTGTGCAGCTTTAGAATGACACCCATGAGGGCTGTGCACCAATCCCAGTGATGTCTGGGGTTCACATCCAACACTCTGCCTTTGGGAAGGTACCTGCTTGATACTCCAAGATAAGATGGAATTCATCTCTTTCCTGCATGGATTCAGGTGGCACGACCACGTTGTCATCGAGCAGTTCGTGGAGTCTGGGGCCAACTGGGCCACAAAGGAGAATCTAGAAAACAGGAAAAAATAACTAAGGTTTCCCTGCCATGTCCCTTGCCAAAATGTAAGCATCACCTAGACAATTTTTAAGAAGTTAATAATTCAATTTTTAAAAATCAGCTGTGTTTTCTACTTGGAAGGCCAACCATATGTTCCACCACAACCCAAGAAATAATTGCCAGATCCCAAAAATCTACAGGGAAGTAATTTGCTTGAGACAAGCAAATTAAAGAAGATGAGCAAACAGCATGAAATCTTTGGAGTGTGTGTGTACCTTCAGGTCTGGATTTGTCGCGAGCTTCTGCCCGATGAGAGCAGCGTTTCCTCCCACGTAGAGCTGTAAAACAAACAGAGCAGGGTGTGGGTCCCCTTGCTGTGGGACCTTTATATATGTTCAGTCCTCAGCACAGCCTGGAGATTCTGGGTTTTTAGAACACAGTCCAGCAGTAGCCAAGTTACTAAAGCTTACTGGGGCTGAAGGCAAAACAACTTTACAGTTCTCTGTGAGAATCTCAACAACTTGAGCGTTCTCTTTTTGTTAAATCTAAATATTCGCCTTCAGGTAATGGCCACGCAGAAATCAATTAATTCATAACATTAACAGTGTTGAAGGAATCTACTCATTCAGCACATAAACAGCCCTCACTCCTGTGCAACTTCTCTGTGGCAGTGGGTGACCTGTGGGTTTTTAGCAAGGCTGCCAAGGAACTGTTTAAAAACTGCAACAGCTCTTCCTCCAGTCTGAGGTTGAGGTGAATCCTGGTCCCTGTGCCCATGTGGAGTGAGAGGAACCTTCCTACCTTTCTTCAGGTAAGAAAGGTCAAACTTCCCAGTGAGAAAACTGATGTGAGCTTTGAAACCAATGAATGTGGATTGTCATGAGGGTCACAGACACTCAGAGGAGGCCACGGAGCTGCTCCAAGGGCTGGAGCCCCTCAGCTCTGGAGACAGGCTGGGAGAGCTGGGGGTGTTCACCTGGAGAAGGTTCCAGGGAAACCTTAGAGCCCATTCCAGAGCCTAAAGGGGCTCCAAGGCAGCTGGAGAGGGACTTTGGACAAGGGCCTGGAGGGACAGGACAAGGAGGAATGGCTTCCCACTGCCACAGGGCAGGGTTAGATGGGATATTGGGAAGGAATTGTTGGGTGTGAGGGTGGTGAGGCCCTGTCCCAGGTTGTCCAGAGAAGCTGTGGCTGCCCCATCCCTGGAAGTGTTGAAAGCCAGGTTGGACGGGTCTTGGAGCAACCTGGGATAGTGGAAGGTGTCCCTGCCCATGGCAAGAGGTGGAACCAGGTGGGCTTCAAGGTCCCTTCCAGCCCAAACCATTCTGAGATTCTCTGACAGAAAACAGGCCGTGGAAGGATCCAGCTGAAAAATCAGGTGATTCCTTGCTCCCTGCCTCATTCCAAGGTGTTAGAGTGACTTTTACAGCCTCAGCCCCACCTGGCTCCCCTATAACAATATTCTTAAAGAGGCATCTTTGACATTTCATTTTGGGAACGTCAGCAGGGGAGAGACAATTTAAAGCCCTCCTGTTTGCAGCGGGGGCAGAATCCTGTGGAAAATCATTCACACACTCAAGCTACACCACAAGTTCCCTTCCTAAAGGATTTGCTCTCTCACTAGAGGGAAAATGGAAGTCAGTGGTGATCAGCAGGTAAGAACCACGCCTCCCCAGGCCTGTGCTGGGTGCAGCCCCACCTGTGCCGCAGGGTGCTCCGAGGCCGTCCGTGCGATGTCCCGGAACGCCGCGGCGTCGCTGAAGAACCGCTCGGCGGCCGCCCCTCGCTCCATGAAGTGGGTGAAGGCCTCCCCCAGGTCCTGCCCGGAGCTCAGCACCGCGTGGTTCTTCCCATCCCTGGGTTCCAGACCCAGCGCCTCCAGCAGCTTCACGCCGGACAGGACCACGTCCACACAGGCGTTGACGCTGGAAGAGACAAGGAAAAGGCGTCCTGGGAAAACCACATGGATCCGAGGGAACTGAGATTAGCTCGGCTGGTCAGAGCATCGTGGTGATAATGCCAAGGTCATGGGTTTGATCCCTGTGGAGACCATTCATTTAAGAGTTGGACTCAATGATCCCTGTGGGTCCCTTCCAACTGGGAATACTCTGCCTCTGTCTTAAACCTGTGAGACAATACAGTGAGATCATGCCCCAGGCAGTGATGGCTGTTCAGGGGGAGAACAACCAACCAAATGGAAAAAAAACCCTCACAAAGGCACAGGAATTCCCTCAAATTCTCTCCTAAAGTCTTCTCCCTTTGACTTGCCTTTATTGCACTGCAGAGGAGAGGGGGATTTCTACCTTTCTGCTGAATTAAAACAAGGAAGGTGGCTGAGTATGTTACAATACAGGTTTGCTTCATTTGCTGCCTTAGACTCACTCAAAAAAAGAACGGGCACAATAATCAAATAATTAATTTTTAATTCTTAGAAGCTTTTAAAAACATATATCTTTTGGGTTTAAAATGTGCACGCGATTCAAAACTGTTAAAAACAAAATAGAAAGTATTTAAGCCTGCTAGATCAGCCTCTTGAGTTTCAGCTGCTCCTAATAATACCCAAACCCACACACCAACTCCCCACACAGGCTGGTTCTGTTTATAAGAAGTCAAGAGAGCGATTTGTCAGTTGAAATATTTGAAAACTGCAATTTCTAAAGGACGATCCCTAACTTCCAGAAATAGCATGCAGTGAAAGCAGGAGAAAAATCCTGCAACAGTTAGGGAGGGATAAGAACCATTTCAGCAGGTCCAGGCTTTATGAAAAACCTGTCTAACTTCCAGTCCCTATTTCCTTATCAATTACATCAATTTAATCACAGCCTAGTTCAAACCAGAGAACAGGAAAGTTCTGCCTGGAACCAGACCTCCAGGAAGACAATTTGTGAACACTTGCCCTTGTTTCACCCTGTGGTTTCAGAGAGATACCAACACATACCAAATATTTCCTGAGACGATACCAGCAATTATTTAAGCATCTTGTGGACCTGCTCTCAAGTGCCATTTCTGTTCCTCTGCCCCACACTCCCCTGACAGGGATCCAAACCATCTATAAAACTTTTGCAGGATCTCTGACTTTCTCTGTGTCTCCCACTATGCTCCCAAGGCCAGTTCCTGCTCCCCAAAGCCAGTTCCTGCTCCGTGTCAGTGTGGAGTGCCCAGAATCCAGCTTTCCTCCTTGGCAGGGACCTCTCAAGGGCCACAACACGTGAAAGCTGCCTCTCACAAAATAAAGGACATGAAAAGCCCTGAGGCTTTCCAGTCCACGAGGTAACCAGCCCAGAAATCCTCTGGATGTGCATCATCTCCTGCACTGAGGAGAGAGAAATGCCCTCGCACAGCACGGAAAAGAAATGATAAGCTCAAGCAGCCTTTTAGCCCCAATTTTATGTTTTAATGAATCGTTAAAGATCCAAGGGGATGAAACCAAGTCACTTTCCTCTGCCAGCACACAGCTCCACAGCCACGGGGGTGGATAACTCCTTCCAACACCTGAAGGCCGAATCTTCCAGTCAAGTTATCCTGCCAGTCTTTATATTTAAGAGGAAGTGAGTGAAGTGCTCCATATAATGTCCAGATTAATGGTCAGTCTTAAAACCAGCATTTGAGGTCAATGTGATATTCCTGAATTTTCCCCTTGTTTTCTTTCCACTTTAAAAAGAAGAATGTTGGATTTCCCTGGGCATGCACAGGTGCCTTCAACATCCACTGCCTTCTCCTCTCTCTGCTCCCTTCTCCACTTTATCAACTTGTCTCTGGTACTTATTTATTGCCAGCCTGAACTGGATGGCCAGGAGCTCCAAGTCCCTCAGACTCTGGATGTAAGTTTGTTTTACAGGGGACAAGGTCTCTGGAGACAGGCTGCCAACAGGGCCTGAACCCCAGAGCACCCTGAAATCACCAGCACAGGAGTGTTCTGGGTCATTCCTCCCCTCAGCTGAGGTCCGATGGAGCAGTGCTGTGGGGAGGAGCTGCACTCTTGAGGAAATCATGGAATGGTTTGGATTGGAAGGTGTCCTTGAAGATCCTCTGGTTCCACCCCCTGCCATGGGCAGGGACACCTTCCACTAGCCCAGGTTGCTCCAAGACCCATCCAACCTGACCTTCAACACTTGCAGGGATGGGGCAGCCACAGCTTCTCTGGCCAACCTGGGACAGGGCCTCACCACCCTCACACCCAACAATTCCTTCCCAGTATCCCATCTAACCCTGCCCTGTGGCAGTGGGAAGCCATTCCCCCTTGTTCTGTCCCTCCAGGCCCTTGTCCAAAGTCCCTCTCCAGCTCTCCTGGAGCCCCTTTAGGCTCTGGAAGGGGCTCTAAGGTCTCCTGGAGCCTTCTCTTCTCCAGGTGAACACCCCCAGCTCTCCCAGCCTGGCTCCAGGGCAGGGGGGCTCCAGCCCTCGAATCATCTCCGTGACCTCCTCTGGACTCACTCCAACAGCTCCACATCCTTCTGCTGCTGGACCCCAGAGCTGCAGGCAGCACTGCAGGTGGGGTCTCACCTGAGTGGGGCAGTACACCCCAGGCACATCCCTACCCGTGCAGCGGCCCCGACACATCCATCCGCACACACAGATCCATCCCCACACGCATCCATGGACATCCTCACACCGGGATCTGGGGATGCCCGTCCCGCCCCGCCGCCAGGGGGCGCTCCCCGCGCGCTCCCGCACCTACCCGACGGCGACGCGCGCCCAGCCGCGCGCGGGGCGGACAATGGCCGCCTGCCAGGCCGCCACCGTGCGCGCCTCCAGCGAGCGGGCGCGGCGCAGCGTCCCCAGCAGCGAGGCCGAGAGCTGCCGCAGGGCCGCGGGGGGCAGCTCGGGGCCCAGCACGCACAGGTAGCCCAGCGCCAGGGCCAGCAGGCCCACGCACACCGAGCGCTGCCACATCGCCCCGCTCCGCTCCTCCTGCTCCCCCGCCGCGGCTGAGGCGGGGCCCCGCCGGCGGGGGCCTCCTTACGCCGCCTCCGGAGCGCCCCGCCCCCGCCGGCCGCCGGCTGGCGTAACCCGCTTCGGGAATCGCGGCGCGCCGCTTCCCCTGCGCCACCTGCGTACGGCCCGGCGGGGCGGCTGCGCAACCTGCGTAACCCCGTACGGGAATAGCGCGGGCGGCGCGTCGTGAGGGGAAATGGCGGGGCAGAGGTTCCCTCACGGCACCGCCGGGGCGGGGCCGCCGGCGATGGTCCGGACCGGGCCCCCCGGCCCTCAGGCAGCGGGGAGCCGGGGCGAGGAGCCCGCGGTGAGTGCTGCCACGGTGCCAGGGCCCTCAGCAGCGCTGAGCTGAAGCGTGGCTGGGCATCGTACCTGCATCTTCCTCTGTACCTGGTGCCACCTCCCCTGCCCTGGGTTCGTCTTCACGGTGCTCCTTTTCTCAGTTCCTTGTTTCCCAACACGCGCGTGGGTCTGTGCTGAATTTCCACGCTGCCCAAGCAGCGCGGTGCCTGCGGCTGTGGTCCCCAAAGGCTCTCTAATGGCTTGTGTCCAGCAAACCAAACGCTGACTGAAGCTGAGCACCAACCCTAGTGTTATATTCTTTTTTGTAACATCTGGTTTCCTTCTTTTGCGTGCCTTCTCCAGAGTGAGTTGCCCTCCTCAGACCTGCCCCCAGCCCCGAGGCCGTGCTGGGAGCAGGGGCTGTGAGCGCCCTTTGCTGCCTGGTCCATCCAGCACAGAGGTGCTGTAGTGAGGAAAAAGGGAGTTTTCCCTTTTCAATGAAAGGGAGCTTTTCTGGCCTTCTTTAGAAATCCCAGGAACATTCGCTCGGAGACTTACGACAGAATTTGCAAGAGTTTGACAACTCTGTGCCACAGTGCGTTGGCTGAGGCAGCCGATAATTTTCTTATTCAGTTCTGTGTTGTGAGTGATTGTCATCTCCTCAGAGTCTGACAAAGCAAACAGTAAAGGAGATGGGATAGCAGAAAGCTTTTTTTTTTGTTGATTTTTTCCCACTATTTAGGATGCAAGGATTGATGTTCAGCCAGCAGCCGTTATCATGAATTCATGACTGGCCCTCCGGGCTCATTTGGCTGCCCAGCAGGTTCCATTTCTTACTGGTCATTGCCATAAAGGACTTCCTCATTTATTTATTTATTCTGTTCCTCTGAAGTTGCTCCTCAGAGCACCAAGGAGGCAGAGTTGTCAGGACAGGGGGATGATGGGGGCTAGAATTGCTGGGGGAGGAGAGAGTGAGACCTGGTAGTAGATGGTGAACAGTGATCTTGGGCACTGACTGGGTTATAAGCCTAAAGTGTTATAATGTAATAATCTTTAAGAACAGAATGCTGAAAAAAACCTAGAGGCTCTTCTGCTTTCTCTGTTCTTCTTCAAACAGTTCTTTATCCTCAAATAACTTCCTGGTGAAGTGCCTCACGACAGAGTGATCATCTTCTCCTCTCAGACCATGTTCAGCTCTCCAGAGCTGCTCTGTTAATATGTAACCCCCCTTTTCCTTTGCTCAGGTGGTCTCTGGGTTTTGTCAGTAGCTTTTTCATTTGAACAAATTTAATCGTTTCCCCTTCGGTGCTTTTCTGGCTGATGTTTGATCTCTGTGATTAGGAAACCTCGCTGGTTCCACACTCGCACTCCCCGGGGCACAGGCCTGCGAGGCCCTTGCTGTTACAAACAGCCCCCCAGTCCAGGCAGGCAGTGTGAGAACAGAGCAAATACCTGCCCAAAAACCCTGCTGCAATCAGGGCTTCACCTGTGGGACTGTGGGTATTTATAGCCTTGTCACAGAACATCATAATTAGACGTGCCCAGGGGGCAGCCGCGACCCAGAGCGTTGGCACCGCTCGGGGACCCCGTTATTAGTCCTGTGTCAGCAGAGGGTTTGGCAGCACACAATCTGACACAGCAACACTTTGGGGAATTCAGCCATGCTTCCATTTTGGGGTGATTAGTTTGTCACTTGATGCTAATGCAGTTGCTGCCCTGAAGACTAAAGTTGCCTTTTTTTACAACAGGTTCGGTTTCCGCATCAACAAAATTGAAGCTGCTCAGGAGGAGCCGCCTCTATTTGGTTTCCATAAACTGCTGGAGTTCAACCTCCATGAACAGTTCTGCAGTGGACTCGAATGAGGCTGCAAAGGTAATTGAAAGATTCATTTTACAATCTGCCAGCAAAAATAAAAGGTTTCGAAAAAGACAAGTTCCCTCAGAGCACATGTTCAGCTAAAGAGCTAAACAGCCATTTCTTGGTTGACGTTTATTTTTAAGCCAATGGAGATCTAGATTTGCCTCAAACAGCCAAATTAGAGGTGAAAACTGTCAACTGAGAACTGAACTCAAGCTCCTTATTTCCTTCCCTTGAGCCACCTGGTGCCCAACGAATTTTAGTTAGAGGTAACGGAAAGGGACACAGGGCTCTTGGATTCATAGGAGTTGACTCAGGCTGAATAAAAGGTATTAATTAAATACCTGTTTAATTATGGAAATAGCAAGCTGGTTCCTTCCGGGTCGTTTCAAAGATGTGACACCCTGATTCCAAGAGTTTTCACAGGAATACTTTTATTAAAAGCATGGGAAGAGAAAGGGAAGAGTTGTGGGATTTTTAGAATGGAAAGAGTTAAAACTCAATGCCAACAGTTTCTGCTTGTTTCTTTTTCCTGGTTTTATGAAGTCCTTTGTATAGGAAATCTTTTTCTTGATGCTGTTTCATGGTTTGAGCTGCTTGTGACTGGGGGTGGTGGGGGGGACAATGGTTTTAATCAGTCTTCAGTTATTGGAAATGGAACTTGTTCCCTTCAGCGAAAAAAGAAGAAAGGTGGAAAGACTTTTTCTGCTGGAAGCAGACAAAAGCTGTGTTTCCTTGCTTGTTTGAAGATTAGCTATGGAGGGTTGCACACATGGCACCTGCTCTCACAGCCACTGGGAGCTGACAGTCCTCTGTGTGAGCTTTTGACCTCACTGAGTTTGTGACTGCGGGCTTGGTTTGGAGAAACGGGGGTTTGCCAGACCCTCATTAGGCAGGGGGAAAGGGACTGAGGGTGGGCAAGGGGAGGAAACAGCAGGGAGGGGTGAAAGCCAAAGCTTCCAATTCCCAAGGAGCTCTGAAGACCTGTTTTTGTTACTTTGAACTCACAAGCTTGAAGCAATTGTCTTTACTCCTTGTTAAGTTGAATTTATGTATGCAAATGAACTCGTCCCTCTGACCTACTTTGGCCAGTTAAGCCCTAGGCCTGTGCACAATGTGAGATGGGGAGGAGCTTTTCCAAACCATGAATTCCTTTATTGTTGCTGGGACCGGTCATGCGTATCCATAGTGCCTGGCATGGAATCTTTAGCCAGAGCTGATAAACACTGGGCAGCACCCAGGGCAGGATTTGCATGGTCCTGTCCAGCACTCCCATCTTATCAGCCCTTCTGTCTGCCTTTCCCAGGAGTCCTGGAGTCAGTTATTCCAGTTCTGTGTGTCCAGCTCACTCATCTGTGTGTCATCACACCTTCCCTGCTATCAGACTGCTCCCTGAAATCCCTGCCTTTGATGACAGGCCTCATTTAATCCCAGTTGGACACTCTTTACAGAATCATACATCAGTCCCTGTCCATGGAATGGGTGTGTACCTGTCACATTTCATGGGAGCCAACAGGAGAACACACCGGGGTGAGTGGTCACTACTGGTGAGGCTTCACTGGGGGACGAGGAGGAAAAAGAGCAAATAGGCTTTTTGGATGGTTGCAAAAGGCCTGGAAAATTCAGAAAGTTTGTGCTGAGCCATGCAGATGAGCAGAGGAACTCTAATTAAAATACAGACTCTGTGTTGTTCTCAGAAACTGGGCAACATTCCCCATTCGAGCTCTGCCAGCAGATCTCAATCCTGGACTTCAGCACCCACTGCTGCTCTGCTCCACGAGACACCCACTCAGCTTGGCCAGCACAGCTCAGTCTCGGTCTGTAACACCTCGTGCTGTTCCAATTCTGGGCCCTTTTGAGCAGAAAATGCCATCTCTCTACTAAATTGTGCCAAATTGCCTGATTTTGGCCGCAGAACTCATTTTCACTTGTCACCTAACGGGATACCTGGAGACTTCCATCTTGTACTGTCAGCAACAGAGGAAAAAGCATGTGAATGCCCAGCCCCCTGCTAAGCCCCTAATTATATAGTGATGTCTTAATAACAAACACTCTTTCATGTCTTGGCAGTTGCAGACCTCTCCTCGGTAGTGCAGCACTTCAGAAGTGGAATCACACGGGAAAGATGCAAATCCCAGTTTAAAATAATTGGTATCAGCATGGTCTGTTCCCAGAATGAGAGCTGGGAAGAGTCTGGAGCTGTCAGATGCCAGTTGTGTGGATGTTCTGCAGAATCTGAACCATGTTGGACAGATTTGCTTTGCAGAAGTGAGTGTTGATGCACAGGGAATGTCTTTCCCTCTCTCCCTGGTTATGAATCTTCCTTCCTCAGAGGCCTTGCCCCCTCCCAGTTTTTGAGAGCTCAGCGGTGAGGGTTGGAATGGTTTCCATCTTGGCTGAGACACCAGGGCTGGAGCTGGCAACATCCACATCCAAATTGATGTGTTTCTTTCAGTTGGAGCCAAATTGCTGGAATTTGCAGTGCTGGTGGCTCACACCCCGTGGTGATCAGCCTGGCTTCCAGAAAATACACGGGAACTGGAGCGGGCGTGACCCCCCACCTGTGCTGCTGAACACCCCAGCAATTAGAGGTGGTGGCACTGACTGCTGAGCTCCGGAGCAGTCGCCTTGTTTCTGGAGCAAATGGTTCAGATCAATAGAGATGGAACAACTAAAAACCTTGTGGGGAGAAGACAGGTCAGGAAATTATCCTCGGGAAGTGAGAAAACCTTGGTCTGAAGGTGTTGTGATTGCAATTCCATTCTGGCTCCTGTGAGACTACAACTGCAACACTGTCAGGAGCCGAGAGCTGCAGAACAACAGGGCAGCTAAACCCCTGTTTATCTGTCAGGTGTGTCCCTGTCAACAGTCATGTGAGTGATTAGGTGTGTTACAGGTGTGTTGTGCTGCTCAGAAAAATGAATGGGTATATATGAGCAGAGCAATGCTTTCAGTGTTTTCATGTATTCTCAACTTGGCAAGAGAGAAGACGACTGACAGATGCTCAGCCTTATCTTTGGGAAGGAACTCTGAAACCAAAACTCTCAAGTTATTCTTTAGTCCCCTAAATCCATCCAATTTGCATTCCCATTGCTGAGTGTTATGCAGATTGTATCTCTTCATACACACTTTGGATTCTGCATTATAGATGTTATAATTTATATTCACATCATTGCAGCACTAACAGCAGTGCTGGTGTCGTTCTTTGTGAATGTGCCTTGAAATGTTTGGTTTCTGTTGAGCATGACCTCCCTCCCACCATGCCAGAAGGGCAACCCTGATTTCTGTTACCTCTCCAGAAAACTCCTGAAAGCTAGATCTCTGAGAAGCCTTTGATTTACAGCCCTTCAGGCTGTGGTTGAAGCCCTTGCTGTGGCAGAAGGATTTAGGCAGGCCTGGAGAGCCCAGAATAGAGAAGCCGAAGTGTTGGCTGTGCTGTAGGTCTGTCTCCTTGCAGTGCTGGGGGGGGGGCTGCTGAGAGTACTTTGCAGGGGACTGGAGAGCCTCAAGTCAGATTTCTGTGAGCAGGAGGGAGGGAAAAGGCTTTATCTGTGGCTGAGAGCCCCACAGTTTGACCAGCAAAAATACACTCGTGCTCTCAGCATTGTATGGAAACAGCCAGTTTGTGTTTCCCATTCAGTGAGTGTCACATGCCTGTCTGGAACAGCCAGTGTGGGGCTCGGGCACAGGGTCTCTGTGGGGAGCTGGTCTTGTGCTCAGCTGCCACTTTGCCATTGCTGTGGAGGATGGCCCAGGGTGGGGACCCCAGGAGGTGATGGTGACATCAGGTACACGCTGCTCACCCTGGTAGGTCCTGCCTTACTGCAGAGCAGCCCCAGGGCCTCCCCTGCTCCACCCTCCTGAGCCCTGCCTGTTCCTCAGCACCTGCCAGCCAGGTGAGCCCAGGCTGTGCTCCAGCTCCAGGAACTCCAGGCTGTGGCAGTCTGGACTGTTCTGCTCTCCCAGGGGTGGCTGATCTGCTGACAGATAGGACTTGCCTTATGCAATATTGTGAGCTGAGCATATTTTAACATGCTAACTGAACTCTGAATCAGATTTTGCAATGAGTGTGTGTATTGGTCTTCAGAGAGGCAGTTGCTTCAGAATTTCACCTCTGAGACTGCCAAACCTATTTGTGTGTTTCATAGTTCACTCTGTAAAGCACTCACATACATCCCTGTGTTGTGTGTTAACAGGCACAGCTCATAAATAGTGGTGCCTGGCAAAGCTGTCAGCTCTAGATCTGTCCACAGAGGTTTGAGCCACAGAATTTGCTGTGACAAAGTCGTCTCTGGTATTTTCCTTCTGTGTGAGTGACAGGAAGCATAGGACATGGAGTGTTTGGTGTAAAATGAAACCAGGGTTGGAATTGTGGCTGCACATGGAACCAGATTTGTTTGAATTGGTAGAAGAGATCTCTAACCTCTTTCACAAAGAGACAATGATCAGAGAAGTAGAAACATGGCTGAGAAAAGTGATGCACAGTCAGAACACCCAGAAAATATTTTATAAAATAAAGAGGAGGTGAAGAAGCAAGAGACTGTTGAAACTGGTTGTATAGGAAGGGCTTGAAAAAGATTTCAAAGAAAGTATCTTATAATCTGGAAATAAAACTATAAACACAGGAAACCACAGAAACCCAGAACACAACCTGTCCTTTTATAAGTATTATTTGAGGTCTGCTTTTGCTTTAGTGACTGCATAGATATTGCTGAGGCTTTGTGAGTGTGAAATTCCTTTTTCCTTTGTAGTTTTGTGGCACCTGTAAGTCTTGTGAGGATGTGTTGCCTCTAGGCTGGACAATGTGTACGACAAGAAAAGGTCACTAACCAAAAGAGATCAAAGTGAAAACCAGGTGGGTTCCCAGGGAAACTGCTGGGTGACCAACCAGCTCAGGCTCCAGGGACTTCCTTTTGCAGGTCTGCATATGATTTACGCTGTGTCCATTCTGTGAGCTCAGAGCTCGTGCTTCATGAATGCTGCAGGACTGAATGCTTTCCTGCAGTGTCCTCAGG